GGTCCAGGTTTCTTTCTTTGCTTCGGTACGTCATCAGATAATGACTTACGTTTTGTTGCAGGGCTCTTACTATTACGTGATTTCTTTGTCTTCGGTGACTTCTTAAATTTTAGGGCATCCTTCTTAGGAATATAATTATCTCCTAAAACATTCAATCAATATCTATAATTGCATAATCATTATTTTTATTTGTACATTACATGAAATATTTAATAAATTATAGTAATTTTCTCTTTTGTAACTCAAAAAATGAGTTGTATAATACCAATATCGAACGCGGCAATTAAAAATATAAAAATTAATTAAATCATTATTAAATCGCTAGAAAATCTTAGTAAGTCGTTATTATATCTCAGATGCAAGTCATAATAGATAGAAAGTTAACAACAGTATAACAGTTATGTGTAAATAAAATAAAATGCATGGATAATGCACTTTATTTAATTTACACATAGCTATTATACTGCTTAAACTCTCGTCAGTCAATGTAAAATGAATAAAATTATTCCTCTTCTAGTCAATTTCATAATCAGTTATAGCTGAAATTAATTAGAATATATTTTGGAGATAACTTTGGATATTTATTTACATAAAAAAGATAAAATATCTTAATTAAAGAATATAAAAAATAAACCGTCAAACTATATTTAAGGAAAAGTCAGCATAATTCAAATTTATAAAATCAGCTATTCGGAATAGCGCTGATTGGTTGCTTCAATGACGCATTCTCTTTTCCGCAAAGTGTGATTTCACCATTACATGAAGCACATGATGTATCGTTTTATCCTTCTTTATTATTTGGTGAACAACAAGGACAAATGATGCATCATGTATTTAATGTGTAACTCGGAACGTACCCTAACATTCCGTGCGAGCGTACTAAACCTTTAGACCATCAAGGCTTCCTTATTATTCCTCGCAATAACTCATATACGAGTATTTAGAAGTACGCATGACCACATGTATAAACATTAAATTATTAAATTGCTCAATTTAATTTGTGATATTACTATAGCAGTTCAATCGTCTTGCGTTTTCAAAACCGAAAATAATTTCGGCGCGCAGTTTAAGGACTACATGTATGTATGTAATAAATTCACACAGAATTATTTCATTACTAAAAATCTAATTTGACCGTTTAGGATCCTTATTTCATAATCGTTGTGTAGTCACATAACGACTTTATTAAAAACTATATTGTTTTAACTGTCGTTCGACATTTGTATTATATACCGTACAAAATAATAAGTTTTTGTTAACATTGATAATGATCTGATTATTCTAGATGGAAAAGTCTGTTTAATTGTTTATCAAATTTGTTTATAAAATTTAGCACACAATAATCTAGTTCGTTACCTATTATTATTAAATTTTACTTCTGATCTTTATAATTTTTTTGTGAAATATTTTATTTACATTTGGCTTATTTTATGCAAAAAATTGCTTCTGCTTTGGTTACATTACGATTTATTTGTGTACGATATTTATTTTATAAAAATATAAAGATGTTATGTTACCTGAATCAGAATCCTTCTCTCCATCATCATTCATATCGTCAGCCTCATTCATTACGTACTCATCTTCGCTTTCACCAGTCTTTCTCATCATCAATGCTTTTTTCAGCTCCTGTAAAATAATCAAGATTTGATACACGTGATAATTTCGTTAAAGTTAAAAATCACTCACCTCCTCGCTATCTGACGCCATTTCTTCTCGATAATTGATTTTTCGTCCTCGAGTCCGTCTGCCTAATATTTCTTCTTCTTCTTGTTTGTTTTCGTCTGGAAGTCCACCATAAATAATCTGTAAAGAATAAAATTTGATAAAATTAATATTGTTTGAAAATGAACGCCTATAATCAGGATTGGCAATGTTACCTCATAAAAATAGCGCGTTACCATTACCATTCTTTTTCCTAAAAAGTAACTCGTTATCGTTACTCGTTATTGATTTGCAACAGTAACTCGTTACTGTTACCGTCACTTAAAGTATAACGAGTACTTTTTCGTTAATTTTTTTTTCTTGACACTTAATAGAATATTATAGCGTTTTTCATTGGCAGAACTTGTGCGCATTAAAGCTATTGTACACTACTCTAATCTGAATGTAAAAATGAGATAGATCAGTTGAAAATGCCTAAAGTATATTTTCTCAAATAGCATAATAAAATGTATTGAGGATTTCGCGGTTTAACTCGTTTCTATAAATTTTTATTAAACATACATCTTTACATCGATTTGTGTTACAACGGCTTTAAAGTGCACTGAGTACGCACTAGTTCTGCCAATGAAAAACGCTATTACATGCAGATTTTTGCACTAAATATAAAAAAGATGTCAGAATTCTCTTTTAGTAGAGGAATAAAGCTCGAAAACTGATAAATGTATATAAGTAACTTGTAACGGCAACGACATTACAAGTAACGCGTTATTTGCCAACCCTGCTCATAATTAATCGTTAATAAATAAAAAATAAAGATACGAAATATACATACTTTTCGTCTAATAGCGGGAGCTTTTTTCGGTTTAGGGACAATGTCCTAAAAAAATAACATTGAATATTAAATTTTTTAAACAATAGTTAATTAAAATGTACTTACCTTTTTGATTTTCTGAATCGGTACTATTTCTGACGGCTGCTGAATTTGTGGAACCGGGACATCTGAAGTAGCAGCAGTTACTGTTACTGCTGCTACTGTTGCTGCTGCTGTTGGTTCTTGTAATCTATCATCTTTTATTTCAACATTGCCTTCGCCTAAAGAAGTTTCAAAATTTTCTTGTTCATTAACGTCCATTATCTCATTTAGAGTATTGAAGTCTTGTAAATTAGGTTCACATTGTGCTTTAATTTTCGGCTCATCTTCTTCGTCATTTTCGCTCTGATTATCAGATTCTATTATACGTTTTCTCTTTTTTTTCTTCTTGCCCTTTGTTTTAGGTACTGTCCTGACTCTACATGTTGATATTGTTCTGCTTCTGCAACAATTTAAAAAAATAATATTTTAAACATTTTTTTGTATAATAATGTTTTTAATATATTATATTATTTTTTAATATATTATTACGCATTTCGTACTTTTTCTTTCTCTGCCTCCACGAATTATCGCTATCTTCGCTATCGGAATCTCCCCACATGGATCGCGATTTTTTTCTCTTTGGTCGATCACTCTCGTCACTATCATCGTTAACTAAAAAAAAAGTTTATTTAAATAATTTTTTAAAGTTTTATTTTATAATTATAATCAAATATTTTATTATTAAAACTAATATAAATAATTAAAATAACTTAGATGATGTAAATTATAGTATTTCAAAAATTCTGTATGTTTATTTTAATTCTTTAAATTGTACTTCTATAAATTAAATGCATAAATGGATAATCATTTAAAAAATAATTTTAAATCTTCAGATAAAAATTTAATAATTATTTATGTAAAATTTGTACAAGATATTTGTATAAAATCCAGATGACATGTGGTTTCATGTGAAAGTAGTCAATTGTAGGACAAGTTCTGGGTTTAATCTTTATTCTTATCCCTCTTATAGCTCAGTTTATAAAAACTTGATTAAAAATTTTTTGAGTGAAAAAAATATGAAATGATCATAACCGATTTCAGGAATAAATTAATAAATATATATAGAAGATATATAGATATTAAAAAGTAGAATAAACAGTTTTATTGCCAAAACTTACTAAAATCATCATCGTAGGCCCTAGTCATGCGCGCCCTGGTAGATCTTCTAACAGGTCGCAAATCACCCTTTCTACCACGTCGTTTTACATCGGCAAAGCTGTCATCAGATGATGTGATATGATCATCAAAGTCCTCCTCTTCGTCGGAGCTTGTACCCTTGAAATCTTCGTCACTATCCGGGTCGTCTTCACTGCTTATGTCGAGGCTATTTAGCTTTCGATGTTTCTTACGTGCTAGTAATCGTATTTTGTTCCTAACAACCGCTTTTCGTTCCTCCATATCATCGATCACATCTTCATTCTCAATCTTATATTCTTCATCGCTTTCTTTTTCCGGCTTTGATTCTATATCGTCCTTGTCCTCTTCCAATTGCGTCATCTTTAATGCTTCAGCCTGTAAAATAAATAAATATAGCATATTGTATCTGATAATACGTATCACGTATTCCTACTTTATATATCTGTTTATAATTATTTCCACCTACCTGTGCCTCTTCCTTTTCCGCGTTAACTATCGTTGCAATATCCTTCCCTCTTCCCTGATTGCCAGCACCTTGAACCGCTTCAACTTCATCTTGAATTGCAGCATTAATCATATCATCATATTCATTAAACTTGTAAGTGCTGGCGCATCGACGTTCTCGTAACTGATAAACTGGCTCACTTTCCTCACTACTCGATATTTCAGAACTGGTGCCCGAGGAAGAAGATTCTGAAGATTCTAGAAAAACAGATTAATATCGCGTAAACTATGATACACAATAATATTAATTAACACAATGTCATTATTTAAAAGAATTTAAACAAACGCAATATAAAGTACATGATATTCACCGTTGTCTGACTCTTGACTGGATGCTTGCGATCCTTTCGATCCGTGTTGTGTTTCGCCTTTATGAAGTACATTATCCAGACTTATGCCGACAAAAGCCAATCGCTTCTTTCGTAGCACTTCATTCTCATGTCTTTTTGTTAACTGATCCAGTGTTTTTAGAGTCTCCCGTAATTTGGTCACCAATAAAGTCTTAAAAGATGATTTTATTAAGTACATTTATACATATATATGAAAACCTTGTGAAAAGTGTGCAATATTTACGTATTTGTGTACGGACAATTCACAAAATAATTGTACAAAAATAATAGAAGATTGTATAAAGAAAAAGATAAACTTACATGTTGGCACGGAGGGCAGAACCAATCACCTTCGGGTATAAGCATAAGAGCTGGTCGAAGACAGGAGCAATGCCAACCTTTATCGCAAGAATCACATAAAAGAATCCATTCGGGATGATCAGCCTTGCCACATTTCTGACAGGCATACTCATCTTCAGCTTCCTCGACATGACTTTGGGCTAATGGAAAATAAATATAGTAGAATAGTCAAATAAGAGTCCCATTATATAAATTTCTCCTTAACAAAGAACTTACCCTTTTGTGCTGTTCTAGCACGTCTTAAAGGTTGAGGCTCTTGATCCTTCTCGAGATCGCTCTCAGGAGAAAATTCATGATCACTTTTAAACAATAAAGATCCTTCGCTCTCCATATCTTCGTCCATATCCTCTTCTTCATCTTCATTATCATTCTCTTCGTCACTGCTAGACCCAGATGAACTCTGCCATGGGTTCGCTTCGTTAAATTTAGCAAGCATCTTCTTTTTCTTCCTCTTTCGACGTCTCTTTTTGGACTTTTTCTCCTTTTCAATTTCCTTTATGATAATTTCCTCCTCGCTTTCCGGCTATGCGACACATAAGAATTACTTACATATATATACATTATAGTTACAATTTTTTGTATGTTTAACATAAAATAATTAATTACCTTCTGCTTCTTTCTTTTTTTCTTTTCTGATTCCTTTTTCTCTTCTATCTCACGCATAGATTCCTCCTCGATTCTACGCCTATCTGCTTGTTCCTTTATTTTCAACTGCGCTATTCTTCTTGATTGCCTGACAGGCATCTCATCCTGTGCTGGTGATTCCGTCTCCAACGAGATATCTCTACCTATTTCTAAGCCTAAGACCATTTTTCCTGTAAAAATTTTTTTTCAATTAACAGACTGTCACAAATACTGCATGGACTCACAAGACATCATTATACGTATATATACTTACGTTTTTTCCGTTTCTTCTGTGCTGTATTTAAAGTATCATTAGGTGTTTCATCGAGATGAGCACCAGGCGACGTCTGATCGACCTGAAATTCTGTGAGCTTTGGCCGACTCGGACGTCCACCACCCCGGAAACCGCGCCTCTTTCTACCCCTAGGACGACCCCTAATCTTTTTGTCGTTCGCCATTGTTTGCATAATGTTCGGATCACCACCGCTGTCCTCTTTATTCGCGTGCTCCGCTGCATTATCAGGATCACATTTCACAGCCTCGTCCTCGGAGCTCACCGCCACTCCACGACTTTCCTCGATGGACTTTCGTAATTCTTTATCCGGTATACGTTTTGCGCGTAACTTCATCCTTTTACCACCCATCATCTCTTCGTCTTCTTGTTTCGTTGCTCCATCCTCGGAATTCGATTCATGAGCGCTGTTTCGCCGCTTTCGCGAGACCTTTGGCATTTCTGTAGTGCTGTCCAATTTCCATCCCTCATAAACCAAATCAGATGCCGGTTTTACGCGAATACTTATCTTAGGAGTGTCAGACGCATCTTCGGTAATATTCTTTAAAGCGTCATCGGTGCACGCTAAGGGATCTGTTTCTTCCGGTACATTAAAGACATCTTCATTATCCACGCCTGTTGAATCATCAGAAGCTTCAGAAATATTTTTCATCTCGATGTCCTGAATTTCGGAAAGTTCTTCCCTTTCTGCAGTTTCTAAATCGACCTTCTTCGAATCTTCGGCTACAGCCACGGAATCGTTTACCATACCGAAATCATTTTGAAACAATTGTGTTGTAGAGATCATTGATCTCGTTTCATCCTCGATTTGTGGCTTTAACTTTTCGGCCTTATTGGACGTATCTAAAGTCTTAGGCGTTTGCATATCGGGATCTGTTAAATTTCCCAGTGTCTTATCATCGGTTTCCATATACGGAGGCTTAGACTTTAACGGAGGAACATCTTCTATATCCGAGGCATCGATCAGCCTCTTACTGGCTTCTTTCTTTGGATCAGATTTTACAGTACCAATTTCTGAAATAATCTCCTGAGCGGAAAATGTCGTCGATTCATTATTTGCATCTGAAGGCTCATTCTTATCAAAATGTTCCGTAATCTTATTTACATTCATGTTTATATTAAAAGGCTCATTTTGATTGTTGCAACTGTCCAAGTTATTAACATTGTCCATCTTCGTGGACATTGAATTTGAATTATACAAGGCATCCAAAGACATGCTTCCTTCTAAACTTGCACTCTCAGTTTTCCACGTGTGTGATTTATCCACATCTAAAGTATTATCCAACTTTGTTAGCATAATATCCGATTCTGTTTGAATCAATGGTAAATTCACCTCTTCCGTAAACGGCTTAGTTAAACATTCTCCTTGCGACTTCTCGTCCCATTTATTGTCTTCATTACCACGGTCGAGATCTTCTTTAAATCTTTTGCACGGAATAGGCAATTCCTCAGAATTAAGTTCATTTACACTTTTCGATTTTGCGATATTCTCGATATCTAAACTGACATCCAATTTTTCGTCCACATTTTTTGCTTGCTCTGTTATATGAAGTACGTCAGTCACTTGATTGTCCGTAGCATTAAATTCCGTGCTTTCTCGAGTAAACGAAACCTTTGTGCTTTTATTGGCATCACTTTCGTTAAAATCATTTTTAGATATTAAACAATCTGCCTTTTCCATTGTCTCAAGAATATCTCGAGTGGCTTGCATCTGGACTGTTTTTGTATTATCAATCAAATTGTTGAGATATTCTCTACTTTTCTCACTATGACCGATAGTCATCTCAAAACTTTTGCTCTGAAGAGATTCAGTTGTCTCCTCAGTCGTGACCGGAGCTACTGAAAACTTCATCACATCTGACATTTCTGACACTTTAGAATCATCAGTAGTAGGAATATCCTGAATATTCGTTTCCTCTTGAAGTTCATCCTTACTTAAAAGCATTGTTGATTGATCAGTTGAACGATATTCAAAGTTATTGCAGGCAGATTTGACTTGTGTTTCGTCGGCACATTTTTCTTTAATGTTTATGTCTTGCTCTATGACTACATCTTGATTCAATATTTTTGTTTCTAAAGGTTCTTCTAACTGTTGTTCGGTAGACGCTGATTCTTGAGGCACATCAGAAACTAAATTTGCGCTGTCGATATCTTTTTCTTTATCAGGTGATTTTTCGTACTGCTCTTTATCCGTTTTTTGCTCTATCAGGGCAACAGCACAATCTTTAGAATCGTTTATTTGTGTCACATCAGGTTTAAAAACGTCATCGCTACCATTATCATTGGAATCGCTATCATAATTTGCAACTAGTGATTGTTTGTTAACATTCACGACCTTTACTTGTGATTCCTGAGAAATTGTATCTACAGTGTTTGTTTCCGATTGTTCGACAGTTAGAGCTGTTGTATCTATCTCTGATTTTTTGTTTGTAACGTTTTCAGCAACCTTTTCACTTACATTAATTTTACAGACATCCTCCGCAATTATCGTATCTTGTTGATCGGTATTACAAGTTTTACTCTCGTCTTTTACGATTAACTCTTTAAAATTGTTAGAAGCTCTGCTCTCTGCATCAACTTCAGATTTCTCTTTCTCCAAGATTTCAGTTTTCGTCACTGATAAATCAATTTCGGACTGACAAGATTCATGTTCAATATTCGTAAGAACTGAAGTTTCTTTTCCAAATCCTGTTGATTCTTGCATTGTATCTTCTCGCATTGTATCTTCTTGCATTGTAACTTCTTGTATTTTATCTTCTTCCATTTTATCTTCTTGCATTTTATCTTCTTGCATTATATTTTCTTGTATTGTATTTTCTTGCATTGTAACTTCTTGCGTTGTATCTTCTTGCATTGTATCTTTTGGCGTTGTATTTCCTGATTTTTCATCATTCATTGCAGTCTCCTCAGTTTCTTTATAAGATTCGTTCGATTCAGACACACGATCATCTATAACCATCTCACCATTCGAATCTTGATCAATGCAAGAACTGGGATTTTCAGAAATATTGTCCGCGTATTCGCTTGTAGACTGAACTAAATTAGATGAGCTTATTTCTTTCATAGTTTCGACGTTATCAGACTTGGACTGTTCACAAATATTCGTTTCAGGCACCGTTACAGGCGAAATGTTGAACGTAGAAGGCTTATCAGTATCAGACGAAGTGTTTTCAACTTTTTCATCATCTATTCGCACAGGTTCGCTCTCTTGAGATGAAGAGTCTTGTGCAGAGGCATCGTCTGAACTGCTTATAGTAGGAACTACATTGTGTTTATCACTTTCTCGAACCGATTCCAAACTGGTCATCACAGAACTTTCAGGAAGATGTGTTTCAGAATGTATATCGAACACAGTATCATTAACTTGCACATCGTTCAATCCTTTGTCTTTAATTTCTTCAGAATCACCTGATCCATCATCTTGGGTTCCTACATCCGATAATGCATCAGTTCTTTCGCTATTCTTATCGTAGTTAACACACAACGAATCAGCATCAGAACCAGTGAGGCCTTTCATCTTCTCGTTGTCCGTGTCGGTTGAATGATCTTCCTGACCATCGATTTCAGAGAAATTGTCATTCTTGTCACTCTGCTTGTCACAACTCTCTCCGATGGAATCTAGATCGGTTTTCTCAAGCCTGTTTGCTTCCTGATAACTCGCAGATTCCACTTCATTAGTGGAATTCGAATCTAATGGTTCGTTCGATTTGTTAACGTCCTCGAATTCCCTGAGATCAGCTAGCTCTGCTTGCGAATTTTGTGTAAGTGGAGATAAAGACGAATGCGCTATTGTTTCTTCAATTCTGTTTTGTTCTTCGTTACAAACATTTGTACTATCAGACTGATAATCGTTCTCGTTTTTAGAATCTTCGGCCAGTAGTTTATCGTCTTTATCATCCAATAGCTGCGATGTTACATCGTCCGATCCTTTAAAAGAATCTTCTTGACTCTCTATACTTACAAGATTTTCAGAATCGATAGACTGATCGCATTGCGATGGTTCGACAATCCCACATTCTGCTGGTTGAACATTGGGTTCGCTATTCGAACTGATTTTAATTGAATCTTCTTCAGTCATATTTATGTCATTAATACTTTCAGTTATCACTTCTGACGTAGGACTTGTATGCAATTTTGTGCAGTCATCCTCTCTCACTTCTTTATCAACACAAACAGATTCTTGCACACTTGACTCTTTGCTCGCTTCTATTTCAACTTGCGCGACAGATGAACTAGCAGCATTGTACTCGGACGCGGTGTTTGGATCTATGGATCTATTGGGCGTCAAAGTCTCTTCCTTTATTTGATCCCATGTGTTACTTGGCGCTTCAATTTTTTCGATATCTTTGCTATTATTTCCGCATAAAACGCTGTCAGATTCCAAAGTAAATACATCCGATTTCAACGAATTATTGTTTGTTTGCGTCAAATCAAAATCTTCCGTCTTGTACGAATAAACAGTATCATCCGCTGACTTCGACGAAGACACGCATTCATATTGCACAGTGTCCGTTTTATCGTGAATGGACGTAGTCAGGCTTTGTTCCGACTGAGATCCTAATTCATCGGATTTCGAAGTGTACGAAATGCAATTGGGACCGAAAAAAAATCTCGGCGGAGATGCAGCTGCTGGTTTGCATTCGTTATTCGTTATTTCGGGAGTATCTGGTTCGCGCGAAACCACGCTACTCATATCAAATAAGTTTTGTGTAATGGCTGAATCTGTCGTAGGTTCAGGATCTGTACATGGTTTCGGTTCTTGCAAAGTGTCCGCTTGGCACGATGATATCGACGAGTCGCACTGCACAGGCTCTTGAAGTGTACAGTCTCTTTCCTGTTTCGTCGTACTTATATTTTCCGAACTTACGTCGGACACTTGTAATTTAACACTATCTTCGATGGCTTCACTGCTTGGGTTTACAAGGTCATCTACTTTAACATCTTGATCCACATCACCGGAATTCTCGTGCCTAGTTTTGGCCGATTCAGCATCCACATTCAGCAGTTTCTCTTCCACATTATCACGCTCGTGATCATCTGTATTTTTCTTCAGTGATATGTTTCCTTCGTTTGATATGATACTGCTGTCACATTCTTTCTTCTCTTCTGGTTTTCCCACGTCCCACCTGGACAACCTTTTGACAGGACCGGTTGTACTTTTAGGTATTATCTGGACGCCTAACGTGTGCTTAAACTTTGGCTTTTCTTGTATAGAATCTACTATTTGACAATTATCGTTTACGCTTACATTAGACTGTGGATAATTTCTATTTAATTTTACAGGGGTTTTCGACAGTATCGAACCCGTAGATACCTCGTCTTCGGTTAAAACCTTATTCTGCGACAGCGTCGTGGTAGCTGAGTCAGGTTCAGTTTTTGATTCGTTGCTTTCTTTATTGTCAGTAGGCGTGTCGTCGCCGGGATTACCCGTCCCGCACTCCGCGCCGGAACCCTCGCCGTAGAAAAAAGTCGTCGGTTCCTCTATAGCCTCTCCAACAATGGGATTTACTGCGTCGCAGTCGCTGCCAGATCCCTCTCCTTGCACCATCATTATAGGCTCCTCGATAGCCTCACTCACCTCGTCTCTCCAGTTGCCACTCATCATCGGTCTCTTGTCTATAGAGCCCCTGATTGGAATTACATCCGCCCTTATCCTCTTCAGCATATCTTGCTGTATATCGTCATCCTCTATAGGACGTTTCAGGGGTGCACTGTTCATCCTCAGCGTCGTGATCTTGCTGGGATCGGAAAGTATCGCATAACTTGGTAATCTGTGCTCGTCCTTGGCAGGTAATCTAGCTGTATTATGATAGGGCGTCTCATACGCGGTGAACGGCATTTGTCTCTTGCTCAAATCAGCCACCATCACATGATTACGTAACATTACGCTACGCGCATCGTATGGCAGATTCGACACTTCTGGTTTGTTCACCTTCTTCGTACTTAGATCCATTTCTCGATGCTGGAAATCTTGCGTCCTGTAACCAGGAGAAGGCAAATCCATTGTTTTTCCCAATTTTCGACTAGAAAGATCAATTCCAGAGAAATCCACTGGTCTGTTTTGCTCGTTTGCGTTTTCCCAACCACGCGGTGACGTTGACAAGTCTATGCCTCTATGACTCCTGTGCGTTGCCGACTTTTCGGATTGATTTCTCGCGCAAAAATCTTGTGGCAGCCTATCATCCTCTCCGTTTACCATATTTCCCAACATACTACTTGATCTTGCTAAAGTTTCTGCAATCTTTTCCAGAGATTTCGGCCCACTTGGCTTCTCCAATTTCTCTGACTGTATCCTCACAAGATTTGCAGCTAATTGGTCGATTGGTTTGACGGATAGTTTACTGTGCCCCACAGAAATGGAATCTGTAGTCGAGAAAGGTAGACTGTTCTTGTTAGACAATTTCTCGAGGGCCTTTATCTCGTCGGAAAGACCGTGTTTCTTCATCGCGTTTAAGGGCGCGATAACAGATGTCGGACTTACTAACTTTTCTTCTGGCGGTTGCTTCAATTCCGCAATATTTACTAGTTTCAATGGAGATGAAGTAATAACAGGCGTTTCTATAGATTTTAACGGTGCCGGTTCTTCAACTTCAGCTTTTATAACACCGGTCTGTTGTATTATTGAGGGTTTGCTTTCTGATACCAAGAAAGCGGACGTTTCGTCAGTAGTCTCTCTGTGGCTCGCATCTTCCAATTTTGCATCCACTTTCGTGTTTAGCGTTTTTAAATTAGTCGCCGACGAAGATGAATCATTTGTACACCTTGATTCTGTGCTCGGAGTTTGTACCATTTCTTGAGAATCGTCTTCCTCCGTAATCTGCTTAGAACTTTCATCATTCGTCATATCTTCTTCTTCCGCGTCAATATCTTCTTCTTCGTCAACTTCTTCTTTTTCAGTTTCATTAATGGTAGCATTCTGAACCTGATCTTGATCATGTTCTCGTTCATCCTCTAACTCATCACTTCTACCGTTTGGTAGCTGCTTCATCTCGCCGTTTTCTTGCACAACTTCGTCTTCTAAGCTTGGAGACGTTGTTACTTGTCCAGTGTCAATTATAGGTTTCTCAGAGATTTCCAAACTGTTGCTATCCTCATTAATTGGTATAGCCCCGATTTCGCCATTTGACAAGGTACTTATAAGATTAACAACACCTTCTCGATCCCTATTATGAATAACATATGCATTGATAGATATAAAGAATAATAATAAATGACAATACAAATAATAATAGCTTCAGCACATATTAATATATAAATAACAATTTAGCTTTTGTTAATATTTAACTTAGTATATAAGACAGACTTACTGAGCTACTAATTCCCAATTCTCTTCATCTAAATCTTCCCTATAAACTCTTATGTTGCATTCTTCATCCAGCTGACACCAGTACGCTAATCCACTTTTGTCCCTTCCTAAAGGTTCCACACGCAACTCGTTTGCTGCCAATTTGTTTACTTCATTCTTAAACTTTTGATTTAAGTCAAATTGTGTTTCCAATAATACCTAAAATAGAAAAAATATTTAGTATTATATATAAGGTAGATTAACTATTTGATCCTATAGACAACAGAAAAAAAAGAAAATACAATTATATGATTCATACTTTAAGTAAACGCAGTTTAACAGCAATACGAGCTTTCTTGTAACTGAAGCGTTCAAGTTCCCATCCATCCTGGTTAGAGTACGTGTGGCAAAACTTGACTAGCGCCCTTTCCCACTTTTCTGGTGACACGGATTTACGTGTTTTTCGCAACAACTTGATGTGCAGATCTATTAATTCTTGCGACACTAAAAAAAATATAAATTTATAAGAAACAAAAGAGAAACAGTCATATATATATTTTTTTTTACTGCAAGTGTATATACATACACAATTAGCTTTCGAATTACAAGATTTTATTGCTTCAATATAGTCATGAATTTGTATGGAAAAGTCCCAATACATATTTATTTAAATCTCTGATAAGATATTTATTAAAATAACACCTAATATATAAAATAATTAAAATCAAATCAAATTGATGAAAAAACGTTACCCAAAAAATACATTTCTCCAAATTTAAATTAAATTTAAGATGCTATAGATAAACAATTTGAACCTAAAGCGTAAATCATGAATGGAAATTCGAATAACGTGACAAAAAATTGAGTACTCCTTTATTTACGTATTCTATAGTTAAAGGAAACAATCGTCGGCGGATTCCGGAACGCTTAGGTCGGGATCAATCAATGATGTTTCCCAGAAATCGGAGCGGAGCAGCGTAAGCGCGTTGCTTGTAAATTCGTAATCACGTGTAACCGACAAGCTGACAAGGTGGCAGCACGCGGCAGAACAACAACGTGAAACCCCCCCGTGTCTCACGGCTGTATCTGTCAATAGCAACGCTTCGCGGAGGGAACGTGTCATTAGGCCGTTCAGGTCGGCGCGAAACCGCGCGGAACGCGAGGGAGGGACGCGTAGAGAGGGACGGCCTGTGGTTACCTATACCGATATCTCGCGCCAAGCCGCTCGCACACACCAAAACAAAAAGCAGCGGTGGAGACGGAGACGACAGCGGCGGTGGCGACGATGACGGCTGCCCGTTCCCACTGTCCGCCGTTCTTGCTCCTCGAAGGAAACGAGAGAACGACTGCCTCCACCGCCGGAACGAATCAACAAACGGATGAACAGACAAAACGAACGAACGAGGCCTCGCAGTCGAAGCGGAGACGTACGAAAGAAACTAATAGTACGCGCTTAGACGACTGGCCTCTCGCGGGGGCGGGTCGCTGTCGTTCCCTCTCGCTTCCTCCCGTGCACCTCCTCGCAAACTCCATCTCTCTTCCCCTCACCGTCTAGTGGCGTATATACAACACGACTGTGTCTCTCTTTCTCTCTCTCTCTCTGTCCCTCCCTTCCTCCCGCGCGCGCGAGAGCACGTACACACAAGTGTATAAAGAGAAAGAGAGAGAGAGAGAGAGAGATGGATAGATACAGACTGGAGCAGAGACCCACCTTCTTGCGTATTCTCGAGCATCTCCTGGAGCCGAGCGATGTCCGGATAGATGATGCCGCAGGACTTGCCGAAGCAGGCGAGAAATGAGCAGATCACCGCGAAATTTGGGTCACTCGCGCAAGAGGCTTCGTTATCGGACGCCATTTTTCCGACCGCTTCTCGCCGTTGGGCCCCGTCGCCACCGCCACCGCCGCCACCACCACCGCCGCCACCACCACCGTCACCTCCGTCGTCGCCGCCGTCGTTGCAATCGTCGTCGCCACCGCCGTCAAAGCAGGCGACGCACACTATTATGTTAAACGGCCCGACTCGCCGTGTATCCCATTTTCCCCACACACGGAGCAGCCGCCGATCACTAGTGCCAATAACGTCAACACCAACACCACCAGCGACGGCAATAACACAGGAGTAGCAGCGACGTAACGTGACAAACTGCGCGCGCGCGCGCGCGCGTGCTTAATCGGACCGGCACCGTCGTCAGCAGGTAGTCAGTCGCCGGGCGTCCCGATGCCGAATTGCCGACGCTTCCCGCTTCCTCGCCACTCTCGTCCTCCTCTACCTCGTTGAGATGCGCCGCTCGCTCGCTCGCTCGCTCCGTGTCGTGTCTCGGTTGTCTCGCTTCGCGCGCCTCCTCTACCTGCCACTACTCGCCGCGCGCGGACGAGGGGACGAGAGAGAAAAGGCGGAGGAGGAGCGAGGAGGGGGGGGGGAGGGGGAGTGGAGCGGAGGGATCACAACCACACGCTCGGTGAGAGAAAAAGAGAGAGAGAGACGGAGGTACTCTCTCCTCCGCCCTCCCTCGAGAACGACAAGCGAAAAGAAGCGGCGCCGCCACTTCTGCCTTTCTCTCTCTCTCTCTCTCTCTCCTCCTCTTTCTTTTTTCCTCCCGCGCTCTTTATATCGGATCTTTGGATATTTCCGTCCTTCTCGCTGTATGTAACGTTCTTCCTTCTTCCTTTTCGCACCTTTTTTCTCTCTCTCTCTCTCTTTTTCTTTTTAACAAGAATCACGGACACAAACACATCACGCGCTAAAACTCTCTAGGTTCTTTCCCTTTCGCCCTTTCCGTTTTTTCTCTCCTTCTTTTGCAAAGCGCCACACACGCACACGCACACTCGATGTCTCACTTCGTCGATGTTGAGAGCGCGCGCACGTACGCACGCACGTCGCCGTCGACGACGACGACGACGACGTTATAGTCAAGGATTACGTGCACGTAATCCGCGATCCGAGACAAGTATCGCGCGCGACACGAGCGAAACAGTTTCACTACGAAGTTGCGCGGGTGGAGACGCTCGCGTCCTAGACGAACGTTATGTGTGACGCCGCGATCGCCGAGTCACCGGGTACACACGAACGGCGCAGAAACGACCACCACGACGACGAAACGCAGCACTGGACATCGCCTTCGGGATTGGAAACACTCCGGGGGTTCTCAACCTAGACGACAGACGCATTACTGTGCCAGGGCCGTAACCTGCGGAAAGTAATGGCCTGGAGTAGGGTTATCAGCCGTATCCTTGAGAGAGAGAGAGAGAGAGAGAGAGAGAGAGAGAGAGAGTACATGTATTCTTTTTGAGATCGTAAAACTTCTTAAAATTTTATATTTATAAAATTATACTAAGAAGCATGTGTCAATAAAAGATTATGTTTTAGAAATTTTATTTTATTAAATACTTACATTTTATAATAAAAATGTAGGTATTTAATTTGTGTATAAAAAAATATACTCTTCTCCTTCACGGATCGTCTTTTTTTTTTTAAATATACATATATACCTATTGTTTTCTCTCTCTTATAATTCAGATATGATAATCTTAGTCTAGAGTGACTGATGACATTTGATCATTTTATATATGTGTGATCGATGATTAATTTAATCAATTCTTTGAGGGGTACATTTTTTCTACCTGACGAATTCCTGTGAAATTCTACGTTTTTTGGATCGCTGATTATGAAACTGAAGTCAGATTTAAAAAATTCGAAATGACAGATTCAATACGTATATAGGGATAAATTAGTGTAAATCTGAATAAATACATTTTCATTCAGATTTATATTTTCCACAAAATTGCATTTTCAGTTTTCGACTTTTTCAGAAAGATAAAAGTCCAAACTTCAATGTTAAACCTTTCTAAAGTTGCTGAAATTTGATTTATGCGTTATAAATTTAAAAAAAATAGCCAAAAAATATTTTTGAAGAGTTTCAATTTTTTTCTTGGAAACCTTACATGAAAGAAAATTTTTCCAATTTTTGAAGTTATATTCGTATTCTATTCAGCACATCCTATTTATTAACGAATGATCTTTCATGACAAAAATGCAAAAAACTCGTTACAATTTTTTTTACACAGTAGACCAATAATTTTTTATAAAAAAATCTACCGTGCAAAAAATTCTGAAAAATATATATTTTCACATATGAAGAATATTTAATAAAATTTTCAACCTCTTATCTTAAATACTTTCTGAGAAACCACACTTTTTGTAAAAAAAAATACCCTGTTTTCCAACTTTATTTCTTTATAAATGATTAGAAAAGAACAATCGGATATAATGCTCATGGAAAACATGTAAAGTAAATAATAATATATCAGAAAAATGTAAAATCATAATTGGTTTCATTAAAGTGAGCAGAGAATACATCTTAAAAATGAAGAAAAAAAAGGTGGAAAGTATACTTCCCCCCTCAAAGGATTAAAAGAATTGCTTATGGAAAAATTTCAAATATACATATTTGACCAGAAAAAGTGTTCTGTCTATTTATTATGTTAATAACATTTTACAAATATTTTAACTTAATTGCAAAAATCAATTAAGTTAACAATGGTTGCGTTCAGCAGAAAAAGCAGTTTTGTAAAATTCTTTATTTAAAAACTGTTGTAAAATTTTTCAATATAAGTAGTTTCTTGCCTTTGATTTCTTATTGATCTAAATATATAAATCATATTGAAGAATTTTTTACAATAATTTTAGTTGTAAAGCTGTTGTCTCTGTTGAATGTAGCCACTGTTTTGAATCGCTAGGTTTTAAACACAAACGAATTGAATTCAGGAGACATATAATCAGCAATTATTTATTTAATGAAGTATTGTGAAATTCGTTTAATTTTATTTTATGCTAAAATTATTACTTTTTTTTATTGTGGAATTATTTAATTATTAAATATTTCTGAAACGATTGTTCATATACGTATACAAGCGCAGCGCTAACGTTATTAAACTTTTAAAAAAGTTAACGGTACGCGTCTTTATTCGCTTTTACGAGTTCAGAAAAAAATCGCTTGTTTCTATCTTTATAAAGAAACATTTTTCATAGAAATTAATAGAGAACCGTCAATATTTCTATGTAAAATTAATGCGTGGAAAAAGTCCGTAGGATTTAAAATAAAATCAGTGTTTTCACAGATAACATTTCTTTATACCCTTTATATCAAATCTTTGCAGATGAATGGAAGAATCAAAGGATAATTTTCAAATAAAAATATTCAAAAATATTACTTTTGTAAAATAAAATCAAAAAGTCAAACTGACGAGTATACTCTGTCCTAAATTTATTTGTAGGAACACAAACAAACAAAATATATAACACATATGATTTAATTCTTTATTATTTTGCAATAAGTTCAGGGATTCTCAATCGATTTGATCCACTCCTGATCGTACCTGGCAGTCTTTAAGCCGCGTCCACGAGAACATTTCTTTCTCTATCTTTCTTGTTACTCTCTCTTTCTTTCTGTTATTATCTTCCTAATCACGCATGAAGCCGATGTTCGTTCGGGTCTGATCGGCGAATCATTTTCGTCGTCACGATAAGTTCACGTGTCACTGTCGAAAACGGAGGTCGCTTGGAAAGAGCGCGAAAACTTTACAAGCTAAAATATAAGCTG